CTGTCCTCTATGAATGAAGGGAAGCAACTCTTATAATACTAATAAGATAATCTACGATGTATGGCGTAAATAACATAGAGTAACTAAGAAAAGTACAAATAATTAATACTTTAACTGTTTTCTAAATATAATGCATACAGGCCTTACCCTGCTGTAGTTCTTTTTGATATAAAAATCATATAGGCTTTAGAAATAATTTCATAGTTAAACGTAAGCTCGTGCAATTGCCTTTCAAAACTAGTAAACAATGGGCATACATGAGATACCAGGTGTGACGTTCCGGGAAGTTGAAAATGCAGAGCATGCGCATTCAGCATTTTTCAGTATCGCTTTGAATGCCATTTAGGATGATACAATGCAAAAAATCTCGAGTTTTCTGTAGAATATGCGAAAAACGGTACACTTTCCTTCTTTGTTCTTACCAAAAGATTCAAATTTTAACGTTTTATATACGCGGCATTTATGAATCGCAATTGGGCTCATCTGAAAGCTTGTCGAATTCCCTTTTCAAATTACCAAGTTGTTACGCTAATGGTCAAGGAATACAGATTTTAGCTAGTTATTTGTCCTCCGTGACTACGGGAACTATACCTTGCGACGGACACAATACCCCTTTTCCGGCTTTCGGGACAAGTAGCGTGATCACCATAGTTGCACCGTTTTTCGTAGAGTGCGCTGCCATATAGCTTTAAGATTGCTTTACAGAGGTACAACGGACTATAAAGACAATATTGGCAACAAAGTTCACCGTATCACTTCTCAATCAGTTTCCAAAGGAAAGGGGAACGGGACAGCCCGATTTAGCGATAAAAGAAGTGGATGAATTGAACGGTGTTTTGGCAGCTTTCTATACAAGTATGAGGAATAAAAAAGGAGAAATTAACTTGTTATAGCCCACTTTGTTTTAGTACTTTAATTAACTGATAACATAGATTCAAAGATATCATTTCCTGTTAATACATATTCGATTTTTTTATATTCCAAACAGAAAAGATAGAGGGCTTGTGGCATGTCTAGAGAAGCACGCGTCAGCTCAGCATGGTCAGTGTGAATGAAAAGATAAAATTGATGAATCAGCTCACCCTTTCATTCAATAATGTACAGTACCCACTAAGGACTGGGTAAGTCAAAATATGCATGTGTAAATGTGATGACAGGTATACATCATACATACTACCTACCAGTAGTATTAATAAGTGATATAATGCATCGGAATTGTCCTGTGAAATATGTCTTCAGTGAGCAATGATGAAGCAGGAAACATACAAACAATGACGGATGCTCTGTAAGGTACCTTACTAACGATAAATGGATTTCTTGTTTACGAATCCTGGTACGTTGGTTTTGATTGGTCAACTAATATCTGGTTGTGTGGTTTCCATTGGCTATTGAACCAGCAACCGAAGCTATACACGCAATGTGTGAACATAGGAGTGTCGTCGCGCCTTCATTAATCCTTAAGTTAGTTTCGGTTTTATAACACTCGCGGTTCTTAACATAAAATAACGCTACCAAAAGATACCAAATTACCACACTAAAATATGTGTGGGGTTTCAGCATTGATTAGAAATTGTATGTTTGTTTAATATTTTCATAACAGGTACACTGATGCACCTTGAGTAGCATTGATACACCGTAAGTAGCACTGATGCACCTTAAGTAGCACTGATGCACATTAAGTAGCACTGATGTACCTTAAGTAGCATTGATACACCTTAAGTAGCACTGATACACCTTAATTAGCATTGATACACCTTAAGTAGCACTGATGTACCTTAAGTAGCATTGATACACCTTAAGTAGCACTGATACACCTTAAGTAGCATTGATAAACCTTAAGTAGCACTGATACACCTTAAGTAGCACTGATGCACCTTAAGTAGCATTGATACACCTTAAGTAGCATTGATACACCTTAAGTAGCACTGATGCACCTTGAGTAGCATTGATACACCGTAAGTAGCACTGATGCACCTTAAGTAGCACTGATGCACCTTAAGTAGCATTGATACACCTTAAGTAGCACTGACACACCTTAAGTAGCACTTATACATCTTAAGTAGCACTGATACACGTTAAGTAGCACTGATGCACATTAAGTAGCATTGATACACCTTAAGTAGCACTGATGCACCTTAAGTAGCATTGATACACCTTAAGTAGCACTTATACATCTTAAGTAGCACTGCTACACGTTAAGTAGCACTTATACATCTTAAGTAGCACTGATACACATTAAGTAGCACTGATGCACCTTAAGTAGCACTGATGCACCTTAAGAAGCATGTAAAAAGGAAAACTAAACACTCGGCTCTTTACTGTTCCATAGGGGTACTTCATGGCATGTTCATACAGGTAAGAGATATACATAATACACATAAATCTATCTTAACTACAAGATAGCAATCTGGTATGGCATACACATTTATATCGCTTGACATTAATTTAGTTTTAATGGCATAACATAAAACCAATAGCAATCATGTATTTTATATTTTGTTCTCGTTTTAAAGTAATTGTACTAATTTTAGCGATATTCTCACTTTAGCGGTTTTCGCGCTGCGTCTTTTCCGATAAGTCTGTTTGCCTTTAGGATAAGGCAAAAAACACATGTAATTCGTACCATACCATGCATGTTATCACTGTTAAGTGGATGACAACAACTCACTTGAAAAATACGAGATGAAAAGTATTTTTTCTCTGATTAATGAGTTTTGGTAGTGCTATTTCACATATTTAAGAGTGTGATACTAAGTCCTATCACTTTCGTTTTGCTTAAATTTGAGTGCGCTAAAACAAGAACGCTCACAGAAATCTACAGACGCAAAAGTTAAAAATACGAATGTCACTTCGATTATGTTGTTTATGACAATGAAATTTATCGGAAGTAAATAATATAACACTGTTTGCTGTTGTAGTCTTATTAATAAACTACTACACAACAGTATGGAGTAATCAACCCTCTTCACCTACATCTTTGAATGTATGATCCTTTATCAAATATTATAATTAACATCAATGCAATCATTTGAAAAAAATCAACTGCATACATGTAGTTTACCGCAATGATAGTAAATATTCAAAAGGTAATCAATTTAACCACGCCTTTGGGTTTATTTTCTTTCCAATTTAAACAATTATCGCAAAAGAAATCAACTCGATAATCACAATTGTACTGATAACAAAAAAAAATATGCTAGAAAAGTCGATCATTATCATTACATACTAAAAGTATATCCTATCTCGGTTGTCATAAATTTACAAAGGAAACTCTTTAAAAATGATAGTATCTTCCTAATATTAATTAAACATTGCTAAAGAAAATGGTTGACACACATAAAACTTTATTTGTTCAAATTCGTATTCCTTTTTTGCTTTATATTCCTATTTTTACAATGAGGGATGACTCCTCATTTACTGATTATATTTTATAATATCATATGTTGTCTTTGTTGTAATTTATTTTAAACATGTTTACTCAAAAACGCACTCAGAATATAGAAGAATGTTAAAACGATAGAAATTGAAAAAGAATATTTATCAAACCTTTTAAAAACATTTCAGCGGATATATTGCAATTTGCTAGTTTAAAAACATAGAAAAAAAAAAATCAAGAATACAATTATTTGATTCATATGTACATCACTTCCAAAAAAGAATACTGCCCCGGGTGAGGATCGAACTCACGACCTTCAGATCGCTCTGTTTTGTGATTATGAGACTGACGCGCTACCTACTGCGCTACCAAGGCGATGAGTGACGGATGTTTACATTGGTAACAATATCATGGCCCTTATCTGTCTGGAAGCAAAAATATAATCTCTTATCTGTAATGTTTGACAAATATGGTACAAACATGAGATTACAATAAATAATAGTTATCTAGATTAACAGAAGCATGAAATAACTGGCGAAGGTGCCATTAACGGAAGTTGTCATTAAACTAACACATTGAAACAGGTATAGTATTAAATAATAGTGTATACATTTTCGTCGGCACAGCGTAATCCGAACTCATTCGACCTAGAAGAATAAAAAAAAAACATTTGTAAACGATTGTAAGTATTGTTCAATGAGCCTAATTTGTTTACACTAAATCAGTCGGCCGTACGTTTGGAGTACTTACTACGACGTACTAAATTGACTCGGTTGTATTTCATATTAAGTTTTTTTACGAAACTGTTTTAATTCCTAGTCAAACCAGAGAGTATAATTATACGTCTCTGGTCAAACCAGTGTATTATACGTCTCTGGTCAAACCAATATATATGTATAGGCATGTTTCATAGTTCGCACTGGTATGATATCTTAAAGCACTAACTAGGTAAACGTACTAAATACGCTTCAAATATCGGTGCTGCGGGCGATTTGAGCTTGACATAATGTCTGGCTAATCAGCGAGGCTATGTATTCGCCTTCTGGTCATTGATATGAACAGATACCGACAGCAAAGTAAATGTCATCGAGACGAGAAAATTATCGGTACGATACCGCGAACTTATCAGCAATTACATTGACACTCCTTTTAATAAGCAGAAGAGCTAAGGCGGTAAACTGATCTATGGAGAGACAAACTGTATGTGAATTATAATGATAAAGTAGGTATTGATAGATTATATAAGACGGAAACTCAAAAAAGATATGATGTAAACTTCCACCGTTCTACGCTTAATGTGTTAAACATAGGAGGCCTCCCTGGAATTGTGACAAAGATAGTAGGTTGACTTTGACATTTAATTAAAAAAATGTCAGAACCAGTAAAAGTAAACCTGCGTGGGAAGTAGACTAGTAGGTAGCGCGTCAGTCTCATAATCACATGTAAACAGAGCGATCTGAAGATCGTAAGTATGTTCATAATGAGTATGTATGGCCTTGGTAGCGTTGGAAAGCACCCACAAGTCGTGGTTTGAATAGCCAATGGAAACCACAGAACCAGAAATCAGGTGACCAATCAAAACCACAGAACCAGGATTCCTAAACCAGAAATTGACTAATCGGTAGTGAGATACTTTTCACAGCATCCGCCATTGTGTATGCTGCCTGCTTCATCACTGCTCGCTAAATAGATATTTCGTTAGACAATTCTGACGTTTTTTTTTATCAAGTTTTGATATATCAGGTAAGTAGTAATCATGATGTATAGCATTTATACCTGTATTTTTACACTTAACCAGTCCTTAGTAACTGACATGGAAACCGAAAGTAGGTCGATACTTTCATTTCATGCATACTGTACATAATTGAATGAATGTGAATGTTGATCTATTAATCTGTTTTATTTGATATTGTTGTCACATGCACACTTATTTAAACCATTATCATTATACCCATTACTTAATCTTGATGATATATATAGCTGTATAGAACAAACATATCAACAGTACTACAGTTATTATTAGAGTACAGTACACATAAAATAAACAAACTAATGACCCAAGTACTTGCATGAGAAGTTGTCATTAATTGTCTGTTAAGTATACATTATGCTGATGTTAATAACTGTCTGTTCGGTGTATGCAAACATTTTCATATGTGTCCAATTCATTGCTACATCAATGTTAGAGTGTTTGTAACTCAGAATCTAGATCGAATTCATATGAAAATAGATTGCCACATGTTTTATCCGCACATGTGTTTCATCAATTTCATGAGGTAAATGAATGACCCTGGTGGTGTTTCTCCAAACTCTTAAAATTATGCGCTATCTTTGTGCATTTTATTCAGCTTTAAATCAACAAGACACACGTACTGGTATATGATACAACAACATCTCACTACTGACCCCCAGTCCTGTGTACAGTTTAAATGCTTAAATGTAGTGTGACGTTATTGGGGTCCACAAAGGGGATAATTTTATATTGGTTCTCAAATCATCGGGGCATATGGTGCTATCCTAACTTATCCGAGTTTTGCATTACAGTGGATGACTTAAGTAGAGAGGTATTTATATTACGTCTCTGATTGTAGTAAATGTAAATTGGATCTGACTAATTTTATATACATTTTTACTGATATCAGATTTTTTATCGGTAAGTAATTTACTGTTATGTGACCAGCCTAACGGCCCGGGCACTATACCTCCCCAGACCACACTATAAGATAACAGTTCCCTCGGAAAAGGGCCATTATAGAAAAATATTATTGGCTTCGTCCGACTGTCCATGTGCATCTGTCAGTCTGTCTGTGTTGACTGTGGTTTTTGGAGCATATCTCAGCTACTCTTTCATAAATAGGTATCAAACTTTGTATATCATTCTAAGGCGAGGGCACTATACCTCCCCAGACAACACTATAAGAGAACTGTTCCCGAGGGAAAGGGTCATAGTAGATTTAGTACATCACATGACTGTCATTTGACAATAAAAAGACAAACATTAGGAACTTTAACGAAAACACATTTAATAATTTTTAAACAACTGTTGGAAATTTGAACATAACATTTGAAGTTTTGATTCATAAGTTGTTGTTAATTGTAACGGTACAATTATTAAATTTGAAAAGGTGTACAAAAAATGGAACGTTGAAATCTCGCTGGTTCTTGTAAATGCTGCCGCAAACCTTGCGTGATGTCATTAAGATAACTTTTTGAGTAGATCTCTCCTTTTTTGATGCGTATATTGGCATAAAAATCCGCCAAAACACCGTTCAAGGACTGCGACGGTAAATTGTGTCGCCTGCTTCGTCTTTATGCATTGCTGAGCCTCTGTGAGTCCGGAATCTCGAAGCCATTTTGGCAGACGACAACAATGAAGTGAAAGTAGAATATGTACAGCGCTCCCTAGGAGAAGGGAGGCAACTCTTAGCATCAGGCTACTTTTCCCGCAGTCTCAGCGGTCCAAAAACAGGTATAGTGCCCGTCTCCAGGTTTAGTTCCAGTCGTCAAGGGCAGATGCTAACTATACCAAATAGAACAAGGGTAGTTATCCAATAGCTATCCTAGAAATTATCATGTGATGTACGAAAGGTATGTAGTAAAAAGCCGGTGTGTCTCATCCTAAAATGAGGTCCTTGCCCTCAGGGGCCCAAACACTATATACGGGGAGCGGGGGAATCCATGAAACCAATACTTTGAGTAAACAATCTAGCTTCTATAAAATTGTATTTCCAAATTCACATTGCAACCATTCTCCATGAAAATTGTAATTATTCACAATAACTGAAAATATATTTGACATGTAATGTTGAACCCTGTATACATATTTTTATGGACTGTTATGTATTGTTTCAGGATCATGCAAGGAACATTGTATCCCTAGTTTCGGAGAAGCCAGTCTGGAGAGCTTTTGCTGTCAGATTCTCCTGAGGGTAGGCTTGGGAGTAAGGATACTCCAGCATGGTTCCCTCCCCTTAGCCTAGAACAAGTGGATAAGGAGGCTCGGGAAAGAGTTCGAACTAGACAAGGGGCTGAAAATAATGAAAAGGACGTTCTTGGTATGATTTTAAATATTATGATGGAAATTGTATTTTTAGGGTTTGGTTTCCATGTTCAAAATGAAGGATGCAAGACTGAAAATTAAACGATTCATTTTTTAGCTCACCTGGTCTGAAGGACCAAGGTGAGCTTATGCCACACTGTGGCGTCCGTCGTCCGTCCGTTGTCTGTCCGTACGTCCGTACGTCAACAATTTCTTTAAACGACTTCTTCTTCATAACCACTGGTTGGAATTTAACTAAATTTGAGTGGAAGCATCCCTAGGTGGTGGGGATTCAAAATTGTACAAATGGTGGAGCTGAACCCCCAGTGGGCTGAGGGGCGGGGCCAAAAGGGGTCAATTTGCCCATATTGCTTTAAGCGACTTCTCTGGAACAAAGAAGTGGATATTAACTATATTTGACTGGAAGCATCCCTAGGTGGTGGTGATTAAAATTTGTACAAATGGTGGGGCTGACTCCCCAGGGGGCTTAGGGGCGGGGCCAAAAGGGGACAATTTGGCTATACTGCTTTAAGTGACTTCTTCTCTGGAACTAAGTTATGGATATCAACTTTATTTGAATGGAAGCATCTTTAGGTGGTGGAGATTCAAAATTGTACAAGTGGTTGGGCTGACCCCCCAGGGTGCTGAGGGGCGGTGCCAAAAGGGGCAATTTGGCTATACTGCTTTAAGTGACTTCTTCTCTGGAACTAAGTTATGGATATCAACTTTATTTGAATGGAAGCATCTTTAGGTGGTGCAGATTCAAAATTGTACATGTGGTTGGGCTGACCCCCCAGGGGGCTGAGGGGCGGTGCCAAAAGGGGCAAATTGGTTATATTGCTATAAACGACTTCTTCTGCAGAACTATGCCATGGATATTGATCATATTTGGGTGGAAGTATTCATGGGAGGCGGGGATTCAAAATTGTACAAATGGCGGGGGCTGGCCCCCCGGGCTGAGGGGTGGGGCCAATAAAATGTATTACTTGGAAATGGTTTGGATCCCCACTGTATAACCATATATACAATTGCTGAGGATAAAGAGGTGATTGCACATATGCTTCCAGCTTGGCCTTGGGGACTGCCCCCCCCTTGGAGACTTAACCTCTGGGTCATAACTTTGAAACCGGCGAGACCACCACCCCAAAACTAAATATACAATTGTTGGGCATAACGAGACGAATGCAGTCATGATATTAGAACTGATCCCAGGGTCTGCCCCACCCTTGCAGACTCGGCACCTGGGTCATAACTTTGAAACGGTTGAGATCCCCACCCCAAAACTATATATACAAATGCTTGGCAAAAAGAGACAAATGCAGTCACGATATTAGAATCGATCCTGGGGTCTGGCCACAACTATACATAAAATTGCTGGGCATGACAAATCTAATATAGCTATGCTACAAGGATTGGCCTTGGGGTCTGGCATATTCCCTTGATCTCATTTGGAGAATAGTTTGCCATGATTGCTTAGGTATCCAGGTGAGCGATACAGGCCCTCTGTGCCTCTTGTTTTAAAGATTCCGGTTATATAACAGTATCAAACTCATGTTTGGTATATAGAGAGACATAAATATGAAAACACCTGACAAATCTTACTTTTGGTCATTATCAGTTAGGGGAGCAACCTAAATAAGTACTTTTGAAATCACTCAAGTACCGGTAAATAATTCCTCCGACCGATCATGAATTGGTTCATAGCATTTTTAGAGTCTTATGCTCCCTTAATATTTTTGAGGAAAACATATTTGCTACATTGTCAATCTATCGAGGTTCATTTGTATGGCAGAGTTTAAAGCATTTAGATTAAAAATGTTTATCACACATTAAGCTCAGATGTAAGAGCAGATAAAGTATTTTTGTAGGAGAGTACATCATGCAGAGTGGAAAATATCGGGGGAAGAGGTTTCGCTGGCTGCTGGAAAATGTCCCAGGGTATATTGGCTGGTTTATAGGTGCCATCATCAAAGATGAAGGGAAAGAGGATAAATCGGGAAAGCACCAACAGGCAATTAAAAATGCACTGAAAGTAAGTAAAGTTAGCTTAGTGTTTATAGCTCATTTGGCCCAGATAGCCTTGTAAGCCTGTTGTTATCTGCCTTCCTTGACTGCATGAACTATATCTGGCAATGCGCACTATACCATTTTTCGGCCTGCAGGAATGTTGCGTGACGACAAGAGTTGCGCCCCTTCTCATAGGGGGCGCTGTACATTTTACTTTCATTTCATTGTTATTGTCTGCCAAAAATGGCTACAGGAAACGTGGATTGCTTTACAGAGGCGCAACTAACTATAAAGACAAAACTATGGCCTTAGCGCAGTAGGTAGCGCGTCAGTCTCATAATCACATATAAACAGAGCGATCTGAAGGTCGTGAGTTCGATCCTCACCCGGGGCAGTTATTTTTATGCTTTAATACAGATATCATGTAACAGACAAAATATGTTACATGTACACATCCCTTATATTTTCATGTGGTTTTTGTTTATAATAGCAAATTACAAATGTATCATCGTATATCATGCTTAAAAATGCGAATATTTTCTTGATATAATTTTTATAAAATAATTAATTATAATTCCTTTTTTATTTCTTATTTTAAATACATTGTTGTTGATTGTTAACTTAAACAAATAACATACGAGTAACGAATACTACATGTAAATATCTTATCTTATTATAAATTTGAGTTATCCATCTTTGTTCAATTTCCAGTTACATACATATGGGTAGTTATGGTGACATATTCTCGTCACCAGTTAAGTTTAGTTGAGATAAACTATTTCTGCAGTATTGTCGCGCAAAGTCGACACCTCGTGATAATTAAGTGGACTTATTGATAAATCGTAAGGAGTGGAGAGGAGACCTTTTATCAGTACGGAAGCAACTTGCTGAAACAAGTAATTATAGTAATTTCAGCTATTGTAAGGCATTGTACATGAATAAAAGCCTGTACTGCATTCTATCTTATACAGTATTGTATATTAAGACAAAGAGATCTATATATTGACCACGAGTCATTAAGTTTATAATCAATCACCTTTTATCGATCAGTTCAGTATTGGGGTATTTATTGTATAGGATACGAATGCTATGATATGACCTCCGGATTGTATTACATTTGTAACACAATGAAATACCATGCGTAATCAGTCTATATTGATCTAAACAACTGCTTCCAAAAAACATGTATTTGCATATAAAACATGTAAATGTGTGTGTGTTTTTTTTATTAATTTGTATCTTATAAGTTTGTTCTTATTTATAAGACATAAATGAAAACAACATTTCTATTTTGTGCTTTTTGTACTCGTAAATTACTACAGCATTTGATATCTTCACCCTGTAAACAAAGATAATTATCCCGGTGTAATATTCGCTCTTTTACCCTAATTCCTAAATGGCCTTGCGTAAATGTTCAATTGACAATAGTAATGGTATATTTTTATAGTCAATATTACGTACTAGTATTCACCTACATGATCATTTCACGTTTGGGAATCTCGAAAGGCAAACATTTCCTGTTATATATTGTTTTTACCTCTAAATATCAAAAACACCAAGTTTTTTTTTCAACTTTGCTACCAAAATGAAAAAATAAAATTATACAGACCACTATAACATTAACGTCTTAAATACTTAATAAATAACCTGAAATTAAGAGCACAAATTATCAACTTTAATCCAAATACCACAGGCTCAAATTTTCTAAATAACGTTTGTGTTGCTGTAACTAAACAAGTAATTAATACAAATAATAAAGACGTAACGTTATGACATCAATAGCTGATTGTCATTGCTTGTTATTAATGCACCTCTTGGGTTCACAGTAATATACCCAGGTATCATCATCTGTAAGTAACTCAGAAAGGTTTCTCTAGTCGCAGTTACCGTACCTTTTCAATATATCTTTAGCACATTCTAGATGTTTGGCCTTTTGTTTAGATGTCAGCAAATGGGGATCCAATCGGGCACAAACCGTCTTTGATTTTAATCACTTGGTCAGAGTGTGATGTATACTGCTTTCTTTAATACCAACCATATGAGCTGTCTCAGAAACAGTGTAACGACCATCATTCTTAATAATTAATTTCACATCAGCAATGTTCTTCTTTAATGCTGCAACAACTGGTCTGCCTGGGCGTGTATCCTGTTTGGTGTCAATTTTACCATTCTTGAAGTAAATCACCAGTCTGCGAACAGTTCTCAATGTGACGGCATGCTGCACAACTCTACATGTATCTGGTTTGGCGGGGATCTGTAAACCACACACTGTTTGATATAGGAGTGTATTTCAGATTTAGTCTCAACCTTCATTTTAGCATTGCAAAGAAGCAGCAACTCACGAGAGCATACGTTATAACAATGAATAACTTGTTAATTTCTTGTGGAAAAATGTCCAAAATATCAACGCGTATTGTTCTTTAAATGATTTTGCAGTTTGTTAAGGCACTAAACTAATTCGTCGCCCGTTTGTACAAAAGTAAAACTTTCAATGACAATGATTCGAAGATATTAATTGTTTACGACAGATGATTGTTCTGTCAACAATCGTGAATGTATGACGTATTTACGAAAACTTAAGATTTCCTAGATTTCGAAGACAGTTTTTATTTTTTGAACCAAAGAATCTATTACACGATTCTTCTCTTACCGCTAATTAATACATGCATTTGATATATTACCGGCAAAACATACCTCGGATAAATAAAGGCAATTAGACTGCTATCACTGTGTATAGTCAAGACTTATCGCCTTGGTAGCGCAGTAGGCAGCGCGTCAGTCTCATAATCACATATAAACAGAGCGATCTGAAGGTCGTGAGTTCGATCCTCACCCGGGGCAGTTATTTTTTGCTTTTCTACAGATATCATGTAACAGACATAATATGTTACACATCCCAATCGGTTGGATATTTTACTAAATTTGCATCAACATACTAAAATATCCAACTTCAACTACCAATGTACAAAGCCTATCTCACATTGACCCAAGAATTCAGAAGTGGTTTGCGAAATAAGAGGGAAATAAACGATAGCATAAACGACTTCAGGAATGAAATAAAAATATATTTTCCTCGTTTATTTTCATAAAAGCAATATACAAAAATGTCATCGTATATCATACTTAAAACTTCGAATATTTTCTTGAAATATAAAACAATTGATTTTTTTAATTTCTTATTTTGAATACATTGTATTTGCAACATACGATTAACGAATACTACATGAATATATTTTATCCTAGTATCAAATTGAGTTATCCCTCTTTGTTCAGTTTCCAGTTACATAAATATGGGTTGCTATGGTGACATATCCCCGCCACCATTTAAGTTAAGTTGAGATAAACTATTTCGCCATTATTGAATACAAGCCTGTATTCTGTCTGATAAAGTATTGTTTATTAGTTGAAGAGATCTATTTTTTGACCAAGAGTCATTAAGTTTATAATCAATGACCTTTTATTCATCAGTTCAGTATTTGGGGATTTATATTAAAAGATACAAATGCTATGATATGACTTCCGGATTGTATTGCAAATTTAGAGCACAATTTCCAAGAATTTAATATGAAATAAAACAATCCACTCGTGATCAGTCTATATTTATCTAAATAATTACTTCAGAAAAACTCGTAATTGCATATAATACATATAAATGTGTGTGCTTTAAAATTTTCATCAATTTGTATCTAATTAGTTTGTTCTTTTGTATAAGACATAAATGAAGATAACATTTTTGCTTTTTTGCTTTTTATACTCGTAAATTACTACAGCATTTGATATCTTCACACTATAAGCAGAGATAATTTTCCCGGTGTAATATTCGATCGTTTACCCTAATTCCTTATATGTCATGCGTAAATGTTCAATAGACAATTGGAATACTATGTTTATAGTAAATATTACGTACTAATATTCATCTACATGATCATTTCACGTTTAGGGAGCTAGAAAGGCGAACATTTCCTGTTATATATTGTTTTTACCTCTAACTATTAAACACAAATTTTCTTTTTCAACTTTGCTACCAATATGAATAACAAAGTAATACATTTCATTATTACATTGACGTCCTAAATATAAATAACCTGGATTGAAGAGCACTACCAACATGTCTGCAGCGGTATTGAATTGTTCTAAATAAATATATAACAACCTCTTTTATTCAAATTGCTTTATCAGGACAAATTATAAGCTTTAATCCAAATTTCACAGCTCAATTTTTCTTATTATTGTTTTTTAATGGTAACTAAACAAATAGTACATAAACATTTAAAAGACATGAAGTCATGGCATAAATATAATTTTGTCAACGCTCTACCCTACTGATATTGTGTGCGCTGCGTTTGATGTATAAACAGGGCCTTTTGAGACGGTTTTAACCTGTTTTCAAACAGTAGCAGATGGATATAGCCATTTATTCAATGATTATCACTGTCTCTGACAATTAGACGGTGATCCTGTTCTGTCTAGAGATATTTTCCCACGAGATCACACAAAAGGACGTCCTACCTGTGCACACGGAGAATCTGCTGAGGGGTGCACTGTCGCGAGACTACTCATGAAAGTAAGGGGCCCTTCGAGGGGCATTACACAAAGATCATATCACTAAGTCACTTGATATAGAAATAGTCATTGCTCACGAAGAAATTAAAATATTGATTGTTACAACTTACTTTATATTTACAATGTTAAGGATGGAGGAACAAAATCCGATAGTTCATTGAGAAATCAAAACACCGATTGTTACAAGGTGATTTGATTATAGAGTACTTAAAGACGTAAATGACACCATATTTTGTGAAGTGTAAAAAACTGAGGACAAATACTTAACCTTGATATATGTACAGGTTTTGATCAATATCTTATTTCGTAAAGTTTACTTTTACTTAAACACCAAAGTATAAGTGCTGAAATCGATACGTAAAGGGACAGTTAATAAGACGTCATCCTATACAACAACAATAACGCACGATTATAAAGCTTAATCAGAAACATAACCTGTGATTACTTTATTTTTCA